ACCCGAGCCGCAGGGCGCTGGACCCCACGGGGCGCGGTAGTAGGGTCCTGGCCGTGCCGCCTGAATTAGGGGCTTCCTGTCAGTGACATGGTCAAGGCGACGAGACGGACTGTCCAGTCTGGGGCCGGGCGAGGCTAGGCCCTAGGAGAAGCCTGCTGGCCGGCGATGGACCTTACGGTTATGTGCTTATTGACTGGAACCCTTCGCAAGACGTGACGCCATTTGAGATATTTGAGTTGAAGTTTCACAAACGATGCGCGCGTTTTGTCTTCGCACTGATTTAACAATGAACGGACCTCTGAGTCGTAAATAATGCCACGAGATCGGTGAAGCTAGAACATGTGCATTCTCTGCACCTAAAAGACGTGCACGTCCAGTGTGGGGCATGCCCCGCCTGGCACCTATGGCTTCTCTCCCTGGCAACGCTTGATTGCGCTCAGCAGAACGATGGCCTTAGGGGTGACTGACGCTGGGTGGGCAAGCGGGCGTGGCGTTGTCGGTGATCTTTGACATGTTATCAGCCGGGGAGGCCGGGCTGGGCGGCTGTGATGGCCGCTCGTCGCACTAGTAAGCGTACCGCTGCGCGCTCTGGCTGCACCGCCCCGCCATGCCACCCGCGACCGACGAGACGCCTCCTCCGCCTCGCGACACCTGGTCCGACATCAACCTGGTGGAGCAGGCCACGGAGCAGCCCCCGCCCCACCAGCTGCTGACGGCCACCTCGTTCCGCTCGTATACCACGGCCGACAGTGACGCCTCGTCGGCGGCCTGGAGCGGGCCGTGCCCCTGCTTCTCGTGCTCGTGCTACTGCGTGGTGTGCGCTACCTCGCCATTGCTCGTTGTGCTCGTGTTCGGCATCATGCTGCTCGTCCTGGCCCTCCTCGCCTACCCCGTCGTTATGGTGACAGCGGCTCAGTTCCACGCAGCCGCGCACGCAGCTACGCCCTGACCACGCTCATTCACCTGCCCATGGGAGCTTTTTTGAACTCTTCACATCAACAACAACTAGAATTGGCTAAAATAGAATTCTAGAGAGAAAGACGCGTGGTTTGAGATCGGCCTCTTATCAGCACCCACTCGGGGGTCAGTTGTGGGGTCCCCGTGATACGTTGCGTTCGTCGTTGGTCTCGTCGACGCGGAAGCGGTTGGATGTATGCTGGAAGGCGCTGGCCGAGCTGACGCCAGGACCGCCCTGATTCGCAGACAAGCAAGTGCCCCCTGATAAGCCCGTTGTTGGACCCCCCGTTTGGACCGATGAGGCTCATTTTGTGTTGGAACGCGCCTCACTGCGCTCGAATTGTGATATATGCCGAACTGTGGACTGAAGCATACTAGAGTCAACAGACTCTTGGTGTCAACATTTTCAAGTTAACAGTTATCAACAAGACACTACTGTGACTTGACCAAAAACGACCTAAAGAGTGAACTAATTTGTGAATGTAACAAGCCCCAACACCATGGGAAGGATGGTGTCTGACCCAAAGCGGCTGGTCACTTTCGAGATCGGCCACCCTGATGATGACGGCGATGACTTTGCTGCTGATTCATGTTGTAAGTTTTCTTTCTTTCTGTTCGAGTGTCACTGAAAACTAACAGGCTCAGTTAAATGGACGACGAACCCACAAAGAAAGTTATATCCGTACGTTTTGCTGTTTGGTCAATATTTTGTAAACCGGGGG